CTATCCTCCTGGAGTATGGGGTCCAGCATGGTGTCCTGTGCAGGCGTTCTGATTCCCCAGCCTGGAAGCTCTCCCTTTGGGTTTTTATGGAGGCTTGATTGATCAAATCTTTGGCCACTGGTGATTGATTCAACCTACAGCCCCTCCTCCCCTCCCCTCCAATCATGGCTGTTCCCCTGACAACCAACCCCTACCCTCAGGTGCTTTCTAAAAGCCATCTTATTAACATCAACCCAGCTGTGGCTGAAAAGGGCTTGTTAAACATAGTATGGCTCTGAAGTTTTTGGGAATTGACAACAAGAGATCAAATATTATAACAAAAGTCGCTCCCATTGCTCTTAGCTCTAGGGAGAGTCCAAGGATTTGGGGAGCTGTGAGCCAGGAAATGTGGACAAGAACCAAATATGTACGAGAAATATATTCTGGTCATTTGAATGACCAAATATATATTTCTTAAAAACCCAATAAAATTATTTCTTAATTTCTGGTTTAGGAAAAATACTCGATTTGAGTTTAAGACAATTTTATTTACAGTGCTGAAGCTAAAAAGTGAACACTGAACTTTCAAATATATTTCAGATGAGTCTGGAGATTTCTAAAATATTCAATACACTGATTAAAAAACACAACTTCACTAGGAACTGGTAAAAACCAAAGTGGCAAATATATTTGAGTTGTTTCACATTACTAGGAAAGTTTCTCTAAAACTTTCAACCATACAACATTCACTAAACAAACTTAAGAATCTTTTTCTAAGATTTTGTAGTATAACTTCACTTTATACATTTATCATTGGCCTCTAAAATTTCATGTGAACTCAGCTGAAGCTCTGAGTTATTTTACTAAATGATTTTGACGCCAAGTTCCAAAACCAAAATACACGGCCAACTACTTTCAGCAATGCAAAAGGCAGAACAGCGGGACAACTCAACGCTTTCCTTACGACCTGAAAACAGAACCTCACTTCAAATAATTGTCCAAGTATTAGACTACACTCTAGACAACAGTCCATCACAGCAAGAGGCTGCCTGAAGGTGCAGACTTATTACTCTTCACCAATTCTGAATATCTGACTGCCACTGAATCAATGTAAGCAGTATACCAGCAGCTGGGATCAGAATGAGTTTGAATGTCAGTTTTATTGATTACTGAAATGTTGTTTTAATAACAAAAATCTTACTTTGGAGTTGAGGGGAAGCACCTCAATCTGTTGTTTTCTGTTCCTTTTTCGGTAGGAGAATGACACAATCCAAAAAATATTTTCATCCACAGCTTCCTGTATGCAAGGCTGCAGATCACATACATGTAAGCACAATGCACAGCCTGCCCACCGGTAGCTCACAATTTAGTAAGAAGCCACACTAACAGTTCACCTGTGCAGACTGCAGGGCTGGCCATCGCCAGGCAAGAATAGACAGAAGTTGTTCAAAGAAGGATCAGTCATAATTGGTAGGGAACAGGGGTGGGAAATAATACGGAAAATAGCTGAGAAGGGGGTCATGAGGAAAGAAAGAGGTAGTAGGACTAAAATGAGCAAAGGTGCAAAGGGAGGATTATTCCCGTTTGAGGATGCAGAGAATACGTGCAGGCTAGCAGTGAAAGGTAAGAACGGAGAGGACTCTGAACGTCAGGCCTTATTTGTTAGTTATTGAAGGTACTTTGAGTAGGACAAGGATAAGATTAAAGCTGTGCTTTTTAAAATAAAGACCGATCCATCCCACTAACCAAGGTACAGAAGAATTGAAAAGAAGAGCTGAATTTCAGAAATAAGGCTGAAAGGATAATTATGATAGTTACTTTTTATTTTTAAACTTTTTAGTAGTACTTACTATGTTCTAAGAACTTTACATTAACTAATTTATTCCTTAGCGTATTTGGTTAATCAGGAATTGTCATCCACATTTTACGGATGAGAAAGCTGTGGCTCAGAGAGATTCTATAACTTGCTCAAATTTGCACAGTTTATAAGAGGTGGTGCAGGGATTTAACCCCATCTCTGCCAGACTCCCAAGCCCATGATCTTAAGCATTCGGCTACCCTGCCTCCTGGTCTGGAAACCAATAAAGCAATGAACATATTTCAAATGACCCCAGCTGCTTTGAAAAGTATGCCATTAGACAGGCAACGTCTATGATGGTTCTCCGTGAGCCCGTTGCCCGATATTCATGCCCTGTGTAATATTCTCCCTCGAGTATGGGCTGGACTTACTGGTTCACTTCTGATTAACAACACAGTGGGAGAGACGGGATACCACTTCTAAGACTGAGTGGCTCTATCTTTGGCACTTGTGCTTTTCCTCTGCCCTTCTCATCACTAGCCGGGGGCCTGGAGGAGGGAGGGGGGAACAAGCGGCCATATTGTAAGACAGCCCCACGGCGAGGCCCACGTGGTGAGAGACCAAGGCCTGCCAAAAGCCACATGAGTGACCACATGAAGCAGATCCCTCTCGCCCAGTAGAGCCTTCAAGCCTTCTGTTGAGACTGCAGACCAGACCAACAGCTTGACTGCAACCTCATAAGAGGCTCAGCCAGATTCCCAAGTTAAGCTGTGCCCGGATTCCCGGCCCAGAGAAATGGGGAGATGAAACATGTTTGTTGGTTAAGCAGCTAAATTTTAGGATAATTTGTTAGTCAACACTAATATAGCACTGATATTTAATTTCTGTTAAAGAGTAAATCTCTTCCTTTATACTTGGAGCTGGGAGATAGAAGTCTTTCTAGGAACATTATACGTCAAATACATAATAGGCAATCAGCCCAGATAACAAGAGCGCTGTGTCCTTGACCCTCACACCAAAACATAAATAAGTCAGTTAATCTACCCCTGTCAGCCTCTCATGGCTCCTCTCATGACTGTCCTCATTCTCCTTTTCTTGAATACACTCTTAGAGCTAGGAACACGGGACACGGGAAGTGCCACCGGACTGCATCCGGCTGCTGTGCAAACCTGGACCTTCCCACCAGCCACTCCTCGTGTCTAGGACGCTCTCCCACTTGCTCCCACCCGCATACTCAACTCCTTCTCAGGGTCCTCGCTCTTTAACACTCACCTCAAAGAT